AGTAAATGATATAAGTTCCTGGAATTAAACAGTGATAAGGTCTATAGGTAGAGAGGAGGAAGTCAAACCTAATGGCGGGTTAATAGATAACATTATGCGAAGGCGTGAACAAATTTAGTGAGACAGATAGAGGCTTGGATTGTTAAACTCTAGTGTTTTGAATGTCCCAAAGTGCTCCATTACAATGGAATTGCAATTGAAAGAAACCCTGAAGGGTACAAGGCAGAATCCACCATTCATATTTTGCTTCACCCCATGCAAAGTGGCATTTTTTTTATTATGCAAATTTCCCCAAATTAATTTCATAGGCATTCATAATTTAATGAAGTTTTAAAAAACATACAGCCAGTAGAAAAAAAAAACATTTTCCAGGTGATAAATTTTTCCAATTTTCTGAGACAAGTACATAAACTGGTTCAATTATGAGGGGAATCTGGAAATGAGGTAGTCTGAAAGGCAAACAGCAGCGGTGCTGATGGGTAATTTTATTGAGTGGAAAATTGAATCAAATTGCTGTATTGAAACATTTTGGCTGTGGTTTTCCTCCTGCAGCTTCTAAGGTTTGGCGCTGCAGTCAGATGTCTGAATGGCACGCTGACCAAAATCCGTCGTACAGTGCACCAAAATGCCTCAGGTTTATTTCTGCTATTTATTTCAAATAGAATAGGATAGATCTGTTTCTTCTGTCTGTACTATTGAGCCACTGAGCATGGTTGCTGCCAGTGATGATCTATTCTGCCTTCTACCAGCTACATTATGAGTACAGTATGGGAGCTTGTCGTATGGAAACAGAATATAAAATAGTTACTCTAGACATGTGAATCCAGTGAAACCAAGATGCCAGAATAAAAATGCGGTATATGAGTGTAGGAGTTAAACATGCATCATAAATGATGGGTTTGCAGTGAGCTGGTCTCATTACTGCGGCCCTTCTCATGTTGGTTATGCTGATCTTTATCATGGAAGCATTAGTCTATAGTTAAGTGTTTTGTCTTACCGAATAGCTTGTTTATAGAAGTTCATACAGCTGAATAACAGGACAGACTCAAAGCCAGTCAAGAAGGCTGATAGAGGAGCTCAGTGGGGTAGTTCTCTATCATTGAGAAGTTAACGTGCATCTATCACCTGCAGTAACATACTCCAATATATTAACTGCTCCAGTACAACACAGTGAGCATCGCACAGTAGTCATTGATTTTATACTGAATTATGTGGTAATTACTAACAGAAATGGTCGTTTTCTTGAAGAGGAGTATTACTTTTTGTTTTACTTATGTACTGTGTAGAACAGAATAAATCAACTGTATATCAAACAGTAAGAAAAATGAACTGGACTGAGATTATTCTAATTTGCACAATGCTGTGGAGTACTTGCATTTGTCAGCAAATTAACTTCCAATAAAAAATCAATAGATGATCGATATCTGCAGTTTCTGGAGTTGTGGCAACGTCAGGGATAGCTTTTTCTTATTACATTAGGCAACTCGCAATACCCTTCAACTGCTGAAAATAATTAATATTGTTCACACTCAAAAATGTCATTTAATTTAGCTCATGAATTTCTTATACCAAGCTGGTATCCTTTGAATTGTCAATCCTGTTAAATATGTTAAACAAGAATTGCTTGAAATGATTAGCTAATTCTATTATATATACCTTTTCAATCCAGGTTTAATCATCACAATTGTCATTGAAATATAAATAAAATTCCAATTCATATACTGCTAGCTATCATGGATGTTTGTAAATGCCTTTTGCTATTTAATGGTGGTATTAGCTGAAAGATAATTATCATCCTGCTTAATATTTACATATGAGCATTTATTGTCATGTATATTGTCATGTGTTGACTATATATATATAGTCTGTATGTGAAAAGCACTTTGAATGGTCACAATGTATGAAAGGTGTTATATAATGCTGTTATATAAATACACTTGCCTATCCTTTAACTTGTGGTAAATAGCAAAGCACTAGACTATAGTCATCTAGTATAGTATATGTTGCATGTGTTAGCACATGACAATCATTTTTTATTTTGATTCATTGTATATGAAAATAGTTGCAATTGACCTATGTGAAACAATTGGAACTCACTGACATATCTTTTTATTTCAAAGATATTTTTGTGTTAATTTCGGTTTTTCAGTTTTATTAAGGGAACTGTCAAAAGAATGTCATATACTATGGACTGAAATTTAGGCAGAGATTGCAGTTAAAACAGAGTCCCTAAGCTCCTTTGTTGCCATCTTTCATCATGTTACGATGTCATTACAGAGACAGGATTTAATTAAGAATGTGCTGTTACACGAAACACGCAGCTCATCACCGGTCATATTCAACAAACAGATTTAAGCGTCTGACAGATTTAAGCGTGTTCCAAAAAATAAAACATCTGTGTTTTCTTTTTGTGCTCTGCGCCGAACATAGTGGAGTTTTTCATTCAGTGTTCTGTTAAATTAGATATTTTCAGCATAAACGGCCATCTCACACACTCCGGCACTTTTGTCTTGTTACCGAAAGAAAACAGAATTGACAATGTGATAAATCTCCATTAAAGCCCCCGGCATCATAAAGTGACTTTGAAACTTCATGTCAGTGGAATTGCAGAAGAAAAACGATGAGCTAGCACAGGTGAGTCGTCTTAGGAGAAGGTTGGACTCAGGAATGGGAAAATGGTGTGTTAAGAAGGACTGGGCATGCAGAGTGATGGTCAGTGCGGTGCAGTAAGACATGGGTGTGACTCCGGAACTCGGCAGCAGTCCGAATTTGCGTACAGTTGCATGCATTGTGGGCAAACTGGCACGCTGCTTTTTCTGCTGCTGTTCCTGGAAACTGTACGGTTAGACATATAGGGTTGCGGAGGAGATGCTTTATCGGCAAGCTGACAACAGCAGGATGGATGTGGGAGCACGACCAGATGGGTATCGCTGTCAGCTCCAAGAGCGCACCGTGCCACGCCTGTAATCAGAGTCCCTCTGGCCAGACATACTAGACTGTGCTCCCACAGAGCCTCGCGCACAATACTGGGCTGACAGCAGTGAGAGCAGCTGTGTGGAACGCTGATTAGTGCAGTGGATTGGAGACAAGCAGGCTGTGTGTCCAAATCCCAGACCGGTGCAATTGTCTGCTGGAGCCAATTTATCATTTTAAAGGGAGCAAAGAATGGACTTAGGTTGCTCACCCCAGCAGAAAGATTACAATTATGCAGATTAAAGAAAAGGCTGGTCGCATTTTGCAGGACTGTTTCGCTTACCCTGTATCCACAGGCAGCCGATAGGTACAGGCATCTCAGGTCTGGAGTCAGATTAGGCGATTTGTATTCCAGGTCACTCTGCCTGAAATGTGCATGGTAAGGGTGTCTTTGCAGATCTTAATCATAAATTTTATATAAACATTTGTTGCAGTTGATAGGGGAAATAAAAAAAGCAAAGATACTGAGATTTTCAGTTACATTTTCAGAAGGTACTATTGAGTTATGATATTCTAGTAAGATGGACTTTTCTTTTAAGTGCTATATCATGGAGATTAATGCAAGGGAAAATCTATCCTGTATTACATGTGGACAATCTTCACCTGTTTTAAATATGTATTCACCCTAAATGAAGGAGCTATTAATTCAAAAAACCAAAGTGGGTAAAGGGAAATGTAGAAAGAGCGTAGGCCTCATAGCATGTGGAATTCATCAGAACTTTACACTTCATCTCCCCATAGGCTTCTTTGACAAGGCTGTGCTAACAAAATATAGCCAATAACTGAATATTAAAACTTCACAGTATTATATAAAGTGCTGATGTACAAATGAAATAGCATTAATATCTGAAAAATATACACACACACACACATATATATATATATATATGGTGTTTAAATGATTTTTGTGTTGGTGTAATACTGTGATATTGTGTCTGTCAAAATCTGTCAGCATAGCCATTTCAAAACCTCTCCTAAAGTCACCCCAGTATTTGCAGCAACATTCCAATATATCCATGTACAGTATTTGTCACTCGACCACTGGCACTCCATGTTTGGGTACCTAATTAAGTTAACTAGTTTAACTAATTAATTAATTGAACTGGTACTGAAATTTACTGAGTACATGCAATGCTGCAGTAGTTCTGAGGAGAGGTTACAGAACTGACCCGGTGCTGTTCCGGGCATCCAACAAAATAATCAGTAACTGTTTTGAGAACAGAAGATTTTACATTTTAATTGCATATGTTCTAATGTTAAATTGTATTTTTTTTCTGGCCAAATATCCACTTGCTACCCAGAAAAATAGCTTTAAACATTTTCCTTGACTGCCTAAGACTTTTGCACAGTACTGTATATGGAGTAGCCCCTTGTTTAAATGATGAGAGTTGGCGTAATATTGATCATTATGCTTTATATTTAAACTCTTAACTATTGTGTAATTACAGTTAGAATTGCTGTGGATATATCTGACTTAGTTCAAACAGGATCCAGTCCGCTCCCTCTCAAACATCTCAGTCCTACAGGAAGCATGCAAGCACTTTCACAAATTTCTCAAAATCAATGCTAATACCGTCAGAGTTTCTCACGGTGCCACTTAGGGAATAAAACCCTAAACCTGATTCTCTCAGGAAGGTTCCATCACACACGGGTGCCTCCCTATAGGATTTACAGCATGTGTCGTTATGCTCCTGTATTTTTACGCATTTGTATATGTGCAAGTGTGTGAAGTCATACTCATTGAAACAATATATTGTGGAAAAAATAGTCTACCTACTAATAACTGAGCAGTAATGATGCCCAAATTCTATCTTCCCCCCTGCATATGTTTGACACCTGCCTGCACATTGCTGTTCAGGCTCTTGTGTTGGGAGTCATCTTTGTTCCCTGACATCACTGAAAAATGAAGGCAGGTTATGTTCTCATTGATGAGTGGCTGCTGTCATCTCGGAGAAGTTAAATGATGCTATGATTCATCTTAACATTTTATTCTCTCTCATATAATGTGTTGACTTCCTGTTTTGCAGAGGATGACTTCCCTGAACCGATGGATGACCCTGGAGAAAAGGCCTCAAAATCAGGTCAGAACGATATATTGTAGTGTGAACCATGCACAACTCAGTAATGTATAGAATTTTTTATTACTACACGTGAAAAATATATTGCTGAAATATAAATTCAGCAAAAGGATTTCCTTTATACACTTTGAAGAACTCAACATATAGAACCTCCAATATCCAATACTCACGCTGCTTTTTGTTACATTTACAGTCTACTGTCCTTTATAAAATTACAGCCATACCCGAATAGACTTCCAGCGACGCACGATGAGGCTGCTGGCTGAGATGTACTGTTATTGATTCCATGTGTGGATGAGAAGGAACACGCAGCTTGTGTCTCTGAATCCCTTCGGCGTTGTTTATGTGCAGAGTCTCTGACGAGGTCAGCTGTGAGCAGCAGGAGCTAATTAACAAAACATTTAGGGGATGTTCAATAGTCAGTAAAATTGCAAACTAATTTAACTATATTTTAACTGAATTTTAATTAGCATAATTCAACATTTTTGTAGCTGTATTGCTAAACTTTATAAAAACATTCATAACCATTAAATATTTTTTGGGGGGAAAAAAACGGCCAATTTTAGCACATTTTAAATTATACGGTATGTAAATATCAGATCTTCAGCAACTATCAGTATTAATAACTAGGGCTTCCCAGGTATGTATTTCAGTTCAGTGTATCCAACATATGACAAATTTCAAACCACCTGTTTGTCATTTAGTTGTGCTTGTCATCTCAGCATAGTCAATTAATTACCCCGGTTAATCAATTAAGCACATGAGAATATTAACAAAGGTTTTTATTCACATTCTGTATTCATATGTGTTAGATCCCACTCCTGTAAATTAAATGTAAGTACATTACATTTTATCTACTTAAAAGTATCCCTAGCTGATCTTTTTATATGAATTCATATTTCATAATGAAAATTACCAGTGCTGGCCTGGTCTTTGTTTTGTATGCAAGTTAGCAGTATGAAGTAAATATTTCTTGCATATCCAGAAGCTTGTATTCATCCTCCCTTTATGACATGCTGTGTGATGTGATTTGCGTTGATCCAGTTCTTTAGCTGTATTGTAATTAGTGTTATCCTTCCAATCTCTGCCTCCTTAGCCATGTACTCAAAGTCGCATTCAGCTGAACAATAAAAGCAACAAAGTTGTAGCTCATGGTATGATGAATGGATGTCATACTTCAACTGCTTTTTATCTTATACAGTATCTCATATATCTTCAAATGTAATTGAAATATAACCTGAATTATACAGCTGGCAACCTTACAAGGCAGGGCAAACAAACAAGAATACAATACACAGCCCACCTAAATTGAATCTGTTTCTGCAGCTTGTTGGAATTTGCTTATTGTAATCTGCGTAGAATAAGGGTAGGAGCAGGAGTGACGTGACTGATTGAGGGTGAAAACAAGTTTTTTTTTCAGCCACCTTTTTGTGCGTAACCTAGACCAGGAAACGTGAAGGCCATTAATATGTTGTTTGTTGTGGCGGCAGGAACAGAGAGACAGGAATCACCTGCTACTCTGGAGAGGGAGGAAACAGCAGCTTCCTTTAGCCAGAGAGGATGAAAGGCACTTTGGTGGACAGGTTTAATTTACTGTCAGCTTGGCACCCTGTCCTTTACCTGGAATTAATTGTGCCCTATGACTCTGTGCTGCTGTGTTTACTTAGCAGAGGGCAGTATGGAAAGGGAAAGGCTTTGCCAGAAAAACAAAGCCAAACATGTTTAATGTAGTCGGTACAGAAACTTTGAAGAACCAGCCTCATGGTTTTGTGTAAATATGGAAGCCTGAACTGTGTTTTATTGCGACTCGTAACAGTGAACAATGAAAGTGTTTTTGGAAATAAAATGAAAGAACTTTTTACTGTTTTGAGTGTGTCTGTACATGGCTTTAATGGATGTTTAGGGGATTGCAGAAGCCTTTTAACTGGTCTCTCAGCGCACATAAGGTGTAAAGTCATAGCACACCCCAGTCTCTCATGGGCTTATTAAAAATGTCAGCAGGTCAACGCTTGTGTTTGGAAGTTGCTTCCTGGAGATATCCCATCCTGCTGCATCTGCATAGCACAAGGTTAAGCGGAGTTCAGCTCAATGGCAATACAAGCATCAGTATTCTCACTGGAGGACACCGATAGGCTCCAAAGCTATAAAGTTCACCAGATGTCTTTTCTTTCACTCCAGGTAGCGTGTGAACTTTTTAGGGATCTGGCCCTCCTGGTCACATGATTTTTTTTCTTACTTTTAGGCTTAGATCATGAAAAGGTTTTGGAATAGACAAAGTTAATATCATAAATCTCTCAACATTTAATAGGTGGTGATGTTTTGATAAAAGCATTATGAAAACATTTTTGAGCCAACATTTTATCCGGAAATGAAACTTTTCTTGTTTTAATGAAACGGTGTTTGTTGCTTGTCTGCTTGGGATTTTGGTGTGTGTGAAGTCATATGGTTTAAAATCCACATTTAATTTGTCAGTCTTGTTTTATCACTAAAAAGATTTTTTTATGGTAAATGGCAAAATAAGATATGTCCACATCGTGCTTTTTATGATGAGAAGGAAGGCATTCATAAGATGTTCAAAACTATATGAAAAATGTGTGATCTCTTTTATGAAGTTTTATACAGAATCATATGTTATTCATTTAAATGTAAAATATGGTGCCTCATGGTGTAGCCTGTGGTACATGGTACCTGCTGGTCATGCTTCTGTAACTTGGAGAGTTTTGTCTACAGAGCTAATGACCCCCAATTCATTGCAGTCAAGTAAGAGACGAATGACTATTTACAATGTAAATCTGTGGCCTGTACTACAAAGCGGGATTACTGGCTTATCGGGGAGACTTGTCAGATTTAAGGTAGTCTGGGCAGAATGTAAGTGAACGAATATGAAGTCCATTTAAACTGTGGTGCCTTAAATCCGACAAGTTACCCCGATAAGCCAGTAACCCCGCTTCGTTGTACAGGCCACTGAAATACCACTGGTCATTAGCATTGGTGCAGTCTGTGGATCTATAACTCAGCAGACATGCATAGTCTTGGTAAGTCAGATCAGTGTGCGTGCATTTCCCTTCCTACGCTTTGATGGCTGTGTGAGGGTGGGGCTCACAGACTGGCCTTGACCCCGTCTTGGAACAAATAAACAATCTGCCCATCATCACCCAGCTCCACACCCCAGTAGACCAGTCCTGTCTTGCACATGCTGATGGACCACGATGGCACAGATTCTTAATACCATCATCATCAGAGGAATGTTTGGGGAGTAGGTGATCATCAGAATTTGCAGAGGTCATGCTGTCAATTATTGCAAATTTTGGAAAAAATGTGTTATAGTAGAAGCTCAGTACATCTTTGTTTTTCACAAAGAGCATTTAAAGTAAATTATGAAACCACATGAATAACAAAATAAGTTAATTTTTAGTAGTGTGATGGTTGACTTTGGCAGTTTTGGTGAGCGATGGTTAATGAGAGGCTTGATGAAGCTTCACCTTTGAGGGAATGCATTTTTAGATCTTGGTCCTGGGTGGAGCAACAGGAGCAAAAGATCAAGATATAAACTGTGTGGGAGTGGAGAAAGTGTTTGGCAGATACCCTCACAGTTGGAAATATATTCACTTGAAGGATGAAAAAGCTTTTTTTCCTCTCCTCAACAGCCGTGTCACTGATTTCTTAATGCCCTTTCTGTCAGCTGTCGAACTTAATGTAAGATAAATGGGGGCTCCATGAAAATAAATGCAATATCAGTTAACTGTTCTTATTGGAGTGGAAAGAGTGCATGTCTGTGTCTGCACTTGAAAGAAAGAGAAAATCTGTGAATTGTGTGCTTTGATAGATGTTTGAACTACTGTCTTTGAAATAACGATGGTGGGCAAAGTAATGCCTAATAGGTTATGCTACTAATGAGTAACTCTTAACATGAGTAGGGACCGTTATCTGTGTCACATCTCCTAATTCAGAAAACGTATTGTACCATGGTCACTAAAAACAACAATTCTCACGCTAAGAAGAACGGCTCATTTTAGTGCTTTTGTTGTCTGCTAAGTGTCATTTACTCTTTCCGCAGTGATCAAAAGGATATGTCTGATCCTCCACCCCACATGCCAGCCATCAGCTGGCTCCACATCTTTTAAGAAATGCAAACACAGGAAGTATATGCCTACCCGCTACATCGCCTTAGCTACAAATGGTAAAAATGGTAGCACAATTAAGCGGAATTAGACTTACCCAATTGTTTCCTGTCTGAAAGAATTGTTTCCTGAAAAGTAATTAGCAGAGGCATTTATTATTGAGAGGGTGCTTTGTGGCACGGATGTGTAAATATTTAATATTTACTAATGAGTTTAGTTGGATGCTGAAAGCTGCTCAGTGTAGACTGTGCGTCAAAGGGATGTGCTGTCTGTTGCCAGCAGACATAGTGGGTTCTGAAGTGAAAATACCTGCCTCATATTTTATCTAATTAAGAACTTTGTTTTGAAGTAGGTTTACCTCACACTTGGCTTTGAAATGGGCGCAGGCAGGATATTGTGCGGAAATTCCACAAGCTGCAACCACAATCCTGTATGTTTTATTGAGGAAGGTGTTTCTACTTGATTGTGTCAATAGAGACGGCGACTTAAAAGTTTGTTAACATCCGGTGGAGTTTAAGTGAACTGAACCAGATTAAAATCATCAAAAGTTGATCACACAAAGCATTATTTATTAAGTAAATGGCAGTAAGGCTACTACCCTCAAATATTAGCAAATTTTGTAGCTGTATTGGAATTGTTCATTTAAAAAGCCAGGAATGCTTTTGTTTTGTAAAAATAGTAGGAGTGCTGTTTTATCAGCTATTATGCCTACGTGTCTTAGTTGGCATGTCTGCATCAACTTTACTAAGAATTTGAATCTGAACCTCTCAAACACATTCATCTTCTCTAGTCAAAGCCAGTTGTTTGTTTAGTAATTTGCCTGTCGTTGTCTTGTTACAGTGCAAACTTCTCACTGGTCTACATAGTACAGACTGAAGCCAGGCGTCTTCTTGCATTTGGCTGCATTCATGCTTTTTTATAGATTCGTTTGGACCCCAGTAGTTGCTTTTGATAAGCATCCCTATTGCACCAAGATACAAGTATGAAGATTTCTGTAAATTTTGAGCAAAGCATGACACTTTTCATTCAAGCTGAAGCTAGTCTTGGTCTTATCAAACAACAGAAACTTTTCTGCGTCTATTTTTTCTGCAAGCTTCAAAGACTTTTATTTTGTACACCTCCACACATCTGTGCCTTCTTCCAAATTGTCTGGCAGTTTCTGGTTTGGCACACTACACTATGGGATCTTTGCTCAGGCCGGGGCACTTCTCAGGGTGACCAGATAACCCATGTCAGGGAGGACACTTTGAGCTAGGGCAGGATTTGTAAACTACCAGTGCAATTAATAGGATCTGGATTTCACTTAAACACTGAGTACTTGCTGTGTGCTGATTGATCAGTCTCCTATAATCATGCATGTGCCACTGATGTTAATGTGAAACAGCTGGTTGAATCTTTCAATCAAGGAAACAAACCAGTAAAAGAGCAAGAGTTACTGAGCTATTTAGCCAAGCAGAGGAGATTTTCAGTTGTAAAGTACTTTGTAACACCTGAAGTAGCTCAGCGTGTACCCCCTGGTCACCATAGGATGACTTCTAAACTATCCTAAAGAATACCCTTGTGTAAATAAATTGAAACAAGTTCAACATATCAACATTTCAATATATAATATGGCCTCCTCTGTTTTTTGGATGTGATTTGGCATAGCATCCAACAATTTTAAGCAGTCTTTGATGATCTCGGGGTCCCAGTACTGTACTTGAATTATGCCTGAATAAGCTTATCTTTTGTGGTACCTTCCATTCCACGAAGACGTTGCTTGCAGATTGGCCACAGACTCTTTATCGGGTTTAAATCCAGAGAGTTTCCGGGCCAGTAAAGAACCTCAATAAGGCACAGGCTAGATCATGCTGAAAGACACCTGACCCGTCAGGAAATGTAACAATGATGAAATTTCCTACATACGGATGGATGATGATATAACTACAACCCATGGAAAACATGACTCATGAAGGCATATTGTTGGCTTTCCGGAATGAGACTGAAAATCAGATTGTAAAAAAATTACTACTTGTTTCAATTACTGCAGATCACGAATAGTGCCGACCGTATTGTCAATATTTATTGCACAGTTAATATTTAACAATGGGGTCTGAGCATGTACCCTGAATGTACCATAGTATCTGCGTCTGTCACAGTGTGTGAGACGTGCTTGTGTCTTTGCAGAGTGGTCGACCGATTACGCCAGTTACTACCAAGGCTTGTGGGACTGCGAGGCTGACGAACCTGATGAACTGACCTTCCAACGTGGCGACCTCATCCATATTATCAGCAAGGTCAGCGCACGCTCCCTCACAGCTGAGCACACACTGATGTCTGCATACTGCTGCGCATACACTGATGTCTGCATACTGCTGCGCACACACTGATGTCTGCATACTGCTGCGCATACACTGATGTCTGCATACTGCTGCGCATACACTGATGTCTGCATACTGCTGCGCATACACTGATGTCTGCATGCTGCTGCGCATACACTCGTCTCGTGCAGGCCGAAGAAAACCATGAACATAAACAGCACATTAGGCTGAGGAATTTCTTTGTGGCATCGCCTGTTTTCCTCCCTGTACATGATGTGTACAGTATATAAAAAAGGGCAACCAAATCTACATCTCAAGCAATTGTTTTTTTTTCTTCTTTTACTTCAGTGCAGGGTTTTGTTATGCTACAGTGGTTTGATTTTAACTCTGTAGATTTTTATCCAAACTGAACTTTTATTTTGACACCCTGCCATGCAGAAAACCTGCCCCCGTCTCTTTTCCGTGGCTGGTGGTGTGGAATGCCCAGCAGCCAAATTTGTAATGGGATTTGTGTACGTTACTGCAGCAGTTTTATGGAAGATAATTGAGTTGTTCACCCAGGCGGAACTCCCTTTGTGTTTATTAAAACATGCAGGTGGATCACTTAAAGGTACAAGGGGCTGCCTTTGTCTCCTCATTCCAGCTATTATCTTTTATCCCTTTTTATGAATGTAATTTTTTCTTGGTTTACACCTGCCGATCATTGCCTGGAAATCACAGTTTTGTACTGTGGTTTCCTTTGTCTTATATCATTATACACATGTTTTTCTACTAAACACTTATATACATATATAATTTCATATTTATCATTTTGTATATGTAACAGCTATATAGGGACATACAGAGTATTACAATGAAACCACATAAAATAGAATCCCTTCTAGCTACTTGCTTTTACAGTAAGTTTTTAATGACTATTTGCTATCTCTTTGTGTTAAATAACTAGTTACCCAATTATGTACAATTTCAGTGCAGGAATGGATATTTATACATATATTCGGTTTTTTGGAAGGACTCTTCCATAGAGGAACAAACACCAGCATCCAAACAAACAAAATAGAAAAGAAATGTACAAGGTGCTGTTATGATATTATAATCACAAATTAACATGAAATATACGAATTAAAGGTAGGTAATATCACATGAAAGTAAGTTCTCATATGAAACAAAGAACAACTGAGCACAATGTAGCTTTTCATTGTGTCATCATGAGTGTCTGCCGGAGTTTGACTGTAGCCGGCTTAATAGCCTTTCTGTTGCTTTAGTTGAAAAAGTTTTCGATCTATATATTCATTTTTAAATGATGGTCCTTCGGAATCGGGGGGTGATAAGTGGCATTGTGTATAGGGCAGAATGCTGTAGGATTCCAGCTTCATCCATGTCTATGAGCTATTTCTGTGATCACTGTCCTTCAGGCCAGAACAACAATCATTATTACATGATTCTTCAGATTTAGATATTGCTGTGCAAGATACTGATTTTAAAAAATAATTGAGTAGTTTGAAATATGTTCTTCTGACTGGTAAGTTGTTAGAGTGTGTCGTACTCGCATGCGGGATTCAAGCATCTTCCACAGATGTGGGACACTTGAGTTCCATTAAGGCTTCCAGCCTTAATAGATAAAAGGTTTTTTTTTTCTCTCTTCCCCTGCTGGTAAGAGGGCCTGCATTGAAACGCCCCTACATTTCTGTCAGTTAGTCTGTGTGCAGCAGCTGGGCTCGATATCCCTCGATAAATTCCAGTGTGCGCACACACACACACACGCACACACACACACAGACACACACAATTGCATTCACCCACACAAAGTGGGGGAAACAGCAAGATTTTCTGCCCACTTAAAACTGCTCTTTTGTCCATTATAAACTATTATATATATTAAACCTACATTATATTAGTATTATTATTAATTTTGCTGTCCTTTTTCACAGCTTATGATTAGAGTAACTGTAGGGGAACATCTGTATAATTAGTTGATAACAGACTGCAGCTCAGGATCAAACGGTAGATCTGTTCAATTGTGCATTACATTAGGGCCTTATAATACCTATAATATCACTATTATTTTGTTATTTTGGGATTGAGAATGTGACAACCTGCCAAAACAATGCAGCGTGAAGACGAGGCACGCAGGTAACGGCTACGGCCGGGGCTGTAATGATGACAGGCGAAGATCCTTGACCTCAATGAATTAAATATGGAGCGTCGGCCAAAATTTAAGATAGATTCAAATGACACATTGAAATAGCTGTAATAAGCCCAGACCCTATAAATTTTCTCTAAAGTGTAGAAGTGCGGAGGAGGGACTGACTACATGTGAACACTAATCATAATGAATGGGCAGCCGGGAAAGGTTCAAGAAGTTAAATCAATGGTGCTAATAAACAGTTTTAAAATGCGCCTGAATTGATGGCTGTCAAGTGGCAAATCAGGCACAGGATGGAGTGGAAGGGGCCGCGGCGTCGTCTGGCTGAACAATGCGAACATGCAGATTATAAAAAGCTCCCACATTGATCTGTATTGATCACTCGCTTACAGTAAAAAAACTCCGTCTTTAAGGCTAAACTAAGTACTTGGGAAAGAGCGGGGAAGGTAAAGGATGGCGAACAGGACGGGATGTTTTGATAGCTGCAGCGTTCTCTGCGCAGCACAGGGTTAGATGAACAAAGAGATGCGGCGTGCCGAGGTAGAGAGGGAGGGATGGAGCGGACAGCGGCCGCCGGGAGAGTAGACATCATTCTTCAGCTTCACCCTCTTCCCCTTAGTATCTCCCTCTATCATGCACCACATTACAAAGTCTTCTCCACGTCCCAGGGATAAACAAATTGCCCCTCTGAGGCTGATTTCCAGCAAATTAAATCTTCAACACAGTCATCAAGAGGCTGTAGTTCCCTAACGAAAGTGGGTGGCCGCTGTGCATATGTGTGTGTGTGTGTGTGTGTGTGTGGCTTATGTGTGTAATACATTGTGGGGACCAAATGTCCTTACGAAGTGATAAAAAAAACTTTTTATTTTGACCTTATGGAGACATCAGTTTGCACAAGGGGAATCTCAGTTTTATCAAAATCTGTGACTGCAATCAAAAACGTCCCCACAGAGATAAGAATACAAAAGTGTGTATGTGTGTGCACATGTGTGTGTGCGTGTGATAATGTGCAAGCATGTGCTTTCAAATCTGTATATGTCCAGGCAAGCCCAAGCAAAACAGTCAAATTAAATTAAAAATACAGAAGCCAGGAAGCCTGTGCAGTCAGCTGCATCTTCGTCATTTTCATTCGCAGTCTAGCCCTAGTTAATTCTGCCGAATTCATTTCACACGAGCGGCTGCCGCCGCAGCCGAATCTGCAGCGTCCCTTTCGTTGAAGCTGCCTCCCCTTCTGCTCCTTTGTAGTGCTTAGTACAGTGAAACATGAAATAGGAGTTAATGCCAGCATCCATCTGGCGTCTTAACACCATCTCCCCAATCCCCTGCACTGGCTCCACGCTGGCATTTAGAGAATACATTATTTCCCCTCATAATTAAGAATTTGCTCTCTGAATTGATTAGTTCCTCTTAACAAGCGGAAGCTCTTCCTTTCTGCTCCCAGCCTGGCAACAAAAGATATCAGTGTCCTTATATATGTTGAAAGGTTGTAACTTTTTTCATTATCCAGAAATCCGGGATTTATGTTGGATATTGCAGTCTTAAGCGACTGGACTTGCAGTGTGAAAAGCTTTGCAGAATTCTGCTCATTCTCAGAGCTTGTTTTTCCATTTTTTCCACAGTTTTTTTAATCCCTGCTGGTTTCTCAGTAGTCAGCCGTCTACAATACACCCCCACACCCTCCTTTTCACTTTTTCTTGAAGCCTTAAGGGATAGATGCTTCTCCAGGACGCGGCCCCGTCAGCTAATGGCGATTTGTCACACCGTGGTCTACATGCCGGTGTTCAGGTCAGCTCATACCCACAGGAGATGTGGGCCATCAGTGCTACAGTCACACAAGCCAAGGTCCCTTATCCCGCTTTAAGCCTCTCCCAGCCCCTTGGATAATAATCCACTTATATTCTTCTTCTTAAGATTTCCCTGTTACTCAGACAGGCAACAGCAGGAAGCCCAGTGGAAATGAACACTTGCAATCTGAAAGTTACTGCTGTTGTACCCTTGAGCGGGGTGCTTAACCTGAATTGCTCTAATAAAATTTCCAGCCATATAAATTAATAAAATTGTAAGTAGCTCACAAGCTGAATATAAGTGTCTGAGTGGGAAAGCTGTGGCGGCTAAGGAAACAGAGCAGCAGAGTGCTGGGAATTGTCAGTGGACCGCAGCTCTCTTAAGGGACTGTGGGGGCATGATACAATGAAAGACCTTGGGGTTTAATACAAAAAAAGATCAGTTTTGCCAGGAAAGACAACAACATGAAACATTGATCACGTGAACCATTTGTGGTTCTGGTGATCTGATAATCCCAGAAGCCTGTGCTCTCCGTCTTTCTGCCTGCTGAGTTGTCGTGGAAGCCCAGAACATCTCTGACACTTAATGTCACTTCATGGAATTATTTCAAATGCCATTTTGGTCTTGGTTTATTAATCAGGGTAGATTAATAAACTCAAGCATGTGACACAGAAGTAAGAAAGGTTCTGACAGGAAAAACAAAGATCTTTTAGCAAATAAACTTAACAGCCTTTTATTGTCTCCCATTATGTGATTTTCGTTACTATTGACGATTACTTCATTGTTCTCTCTGTACTTCGTTAGAGAGACCGTACATTGTTCTGTGAAGACAACAGGTCAGCTTAGACCCTATAGATGGCTTTTCTAGAGAAAGTCCTGCCCCCCCTGTCTGGATCTTCATGCTTCCTAAAGGCTAATGTTCAGTCTAGTACCTTAGCTGTTGTATAATGCTCTCCTGCAGTTTCTGTAACATTGCTGGCACCTCTCTGTTTTCTGCTTGCAGCACAGTGGGCTTCTGTGTATACCCACTGCTTACAAAAGTCTT